AAAAAAACCAATAATGCATCATTTTACACTGTTCATATAAAAATGTTTTGTTTATAGGATGAGCTAAAAAAATATACGAACGCAGCATGTTAAACTTTACAAATTGTGCCTATGATTAACAAATGATTTAAGGAAATTTGAAAATTTGATATATAAATTTAACTAAGTTAGAATATGTTGAAATATTTTTTTAATTTATTTAAGATGACAGATTACAATTTTTCAACTTTTCAAATAATAAATTCAATGTTATACAATGAAATTTATTAAGCATTGAAATACAAAATTTTCCATAAGTTTAAAAAAATTTTGTTCATTGCTCATTTCAAATCGAATCAGTGATAAGTTCCTTCTTTTTCTTCGTTTTTTTTTTTTTTTTTCAAAGCTATTTAATGTTCAACGATTTTTTTTTTCAATTTATCTTTCAAATGTAGAATCTTAAATTATATTTAATTTTTCAATGTACTGATAAATTTTATGCCAGTTGATCAATTGTGGCGTGACCTTTGTATGATATTTGACCTATAATGTATGCTAGAATTTATAAAATTTATAGGATTTATTGTTTTTAGCAAAAAGAAATGAAAAAACAGATTTATTGTTTTTTTTCAAAAGCAAGCATCAAGTTGAAATGTCAATTAACTGATTTAATTAAACTTTTAACCGGAAACGGTAAATTGTAAGGTTTCTTCTTTCCTTTTCATTAACTGATCATATCAACAACTACAACCTTTCAACCATTTTCTTTTTCCAGCATAACAAATAACCAAAAAAGTCCATTAACACTGTGTCAACATCAGAAGGAGTGGAAAATAAAGTGGTTTGATGCATGATGGGAAAAAATATCGCATCAATTCATTATGGAAACGGTACTAATTGAATGAATCTATGGGAAAAATGAAGTTATCGAAAAAAAAAATAAAAGAAAAGAAAAGGAAAGAAAAAAGACGAATATTCTGAGAAATTGTTCAGGTCAAGGAAGAAAAATGATGACTGAAATGCATTTCTTTGCTTTTTCATTTTTCATAACTTCTCATTAAATTAATTAACTTCCATTCTTTGTTTGTTGTTCAAATTATACAAACAATTGTAACTTTTCTTTCCATAACATTTTTTTTTCTCTTCACGAATATTTTCTAATGGTCAAATCACTTTTTACACATTTCGATATGATGCAAACAATTCCTAGCCGTAACACTTATGAAATAATATCTTTAAAACTTCATTTATCAATTTTCCTAATTTATTTATTCATTTATTAAGTCATATTTAATTTGTTATTAAAGGATTTTTAGGCTGTTTGAGTTGTTCAGAACTTTCGTAACATTTTATTATACATACTTCGTTTGCTAATATTATTCAATCATTGCCATTTTTATAATTTGTTCAAATAAACTTCAATTAAATATTTAATTGAACCGATAATGATGTAATTTTTCCATTTTTATTTGCAAGAAATTCAGAATAAAAATGAAGATCTTTCATTTTCAGGAAATCCGGGCATTTTCAGGGAATCCGGGATAAAAATTGGAGAAAATTCTTCATCATTTCGGATTTCCTGAAAAAAAGCAAATAATGCATTGAAGATTAAAATATGGTAATGAAGAGAAGAAGCTCAAATATTCTGATTAAAGTAATTAGTTTAATCATTTTTTTCCATTTGTTATCCCTCTGATAAAAATGAATGTATTTTATGACGAAATTTGATAGAATTTAAGAGGAAGTTTCTCAATATATTCCGTTCCTCTTCGTTCTTTTCCGTTAAATTTTTATCTAACCTTAAACTTTTATATCATCTCTTCAAATCATCTGAGGACATTCCAAGCTTTATTGCTGAAATATAAACGAATAATTGTATTAGTAGATGATGACAGATTATTAGACTATTAGAAGATATTAGATGAAAGTTGAAAAGACAATTAAAGTTTTATTTAAAATCGTCAAAAAACAAAAGAATTTTTAAAAATGAAACAATCAATCAACAAATGCTCAATGAAAAGAATGCAACTCGATTATTATTTCTTTGAGTCGGATGAATGTTCATTCCTTTGCATATCTTGCATATTTAACAATGTTTCCAGAAATTTCAGAAATGGATTCTGGCCATCATCAAGTGCCGAACACATATCACCTGATCGGAATAGACCAACACAACAACCCTTAAAGTATTCTTTTAAATTAATACATTTAATTCGTTTAATTTCTTTTCTATACAATAACATATTGTTAATTTCATACAATCCTAACATTTATTTTTCCAGAATTTATTGATTAACATGTACATATTCTGTTCAGATTTTCATTTTATGTACCGTTTTAAATTTTATTGAAAAGCAAAGCAAAGAAATCGAGGATTGTGTATTTATAGAAAAATCCTTTATAATTTTATACAACAGATAAATGAATGATTTCTGATATTAACCATATCTAATAACTTACCTTCCAAAGTATATGGAATTCGCCATTATTAATGAGGAAATTAGTTCCATGTGGACAAACATTAAAAGCACATGCACGTTTTTCTGCCATTCTACATTCTACATTTGGTGAGCATTGACGTGTTCGAGAACGTTTACCACAACCGCCACATTCTTGAGTACATGGACCAGTCCATTCTGTCCATTCACCACATTCACACACTGCAAATAGTTTAAAAATCTTCATAGAAGAATGTAATTTTTCAAATATTTAAAAAAAAAAAAAAAAAAAAAAACTAAATCACAAGATATTTGATTGTAACTAACCTTTGTGAAATTCAAAAGAAATAAAATTACAAGTAGTAAATTCCTTGAAATTGATAAAACAAAAAATTTGAGATTATTTCAAACCAAAACTTTTCGTTTATTTTATAATAATTTCATAGTTACATCTGTCTAATCAATAATTCCATTAAAAACTACTGATTGTTAGTTTTTAATCCATTAATAATTCTAATTAATGAAAATAATACTTGAGTCTTTTTGCTTTTTGCATGATATTCTTATACAATACTCAGAATTATTCCTCGATAAATATCTAAGTTTTTATTTCATTACAAAAATTGCTAAATAAAATTTGAAAATAATATTGAATTTTATTATATCGCATGTTTAAGCGACAAAAATATGATCATCTAAATTCGGTGATTTGTTCAATCACTCCTTGGCAGTTCCTTAACGAGTAACTCATTAATCAAGTCATAATAATAATTCTGATCTATAAAGGCAATCAAAATTCTCATCACTTACAATTTCGAATTCCAACTGGAAATGACGGTAGCGTACTGTATTTCCGACTATCTTCAGTAACACTTCCAGTTACTATAGGCATAGTAATGGTAGTTACCGGAAATGATGCTGTTTTGGCAATAGTTGTAGTAATGGTAGTAGTCGGAATAGTAGTAGTAGCAGTGCTTGTGATAGTGATATTATTGTTTTTCTTTTGAAATTTTCTTGCATTCGTAGAAATTGTTGCTACTGTTGTTGTTGTTGTTGCAATAGGAATGGTTACAGTTTCAACTGTTGGAATTGTTAACTTCAAAATTCCTTCCGGAATTCCAGTCATTTCAGTTGATACAATTGTATTCTGAAGAATTCTTTAAACATTAATAAATTAAAAATGTTAGGTTTCAAAAAATAAAAATAAACGAAACTTTTATCTTACAACTGTCTCATCGTCTACATTCGACCAAACTTTAGCCTTAAAGCCATTTCCCGCATCACCAAAACCACGAAATATAACCACCATTTCGTTTGTAACAGATTGAAACACATGACGCGATGCTTTTGAGCAACAAAATCTGAGAAATAACATAAACTCGCTTTTGTAAGAACTCAGAAATTTGCATAATTCAGTGTGTGCTCAGAAAATGGCAGCATGGAAAATCCTTGTACATGCATCATGCATGTGCAAGATCAGTATGCAAATTAAGTGAGAAAAAGAAGTTCCTGAAAGAATCTTTTATAAAAAGCTAAAATCTAAAGTTTAAAAGATAGAAATTAGGGCGAGTATCATTTTCATACATTAAAAAAGCAATCTGAAATTAATGATTGGAACTCATAAAGATAGCAAACAGAATCTGAAACATTTTTTTTTTTCAAAATTTTTATTTCGAATTTATAATTTCTTATTTCAAGTAATGTATTCAGGGAAAGAAAAAGGATTATTAAAAAAGCGTATGATTGGTTATTTGCTACTAACCGATATCCAGTAATTCGGAAATCAGCTCCAGTTTTCAGTTCTACATAAGATTTATCACATGTATCTTCACATTGTAATTGAAATTGATCAACAAATTGAAAATTTACGATTCCACCACGTGGAGCTGTAAGCAACCAAATACACTGATCACCGACGTTAAATAAATCCGGATAATTTGGAGTGGAAATTGTAACAGGCATCTTTCTTGCCTAAAAATTACGCCAGTCTTACAAATATGAAACAATCTGATATCATTAAATGAAATCAAATCTTCATAATTTCCTTTATCAGAAAGAAAAGCATCTCATACATTTAGTTATCAATTTTATGATTCCATCATGTAGAGCTGTAAAAGCAACTAAAAAAATTTTTTGAACAAATTTAGAACAACGGATAATTGTTTTTCAACAAACCACTCAACATTGATTTTTTAGATTAGTATCGATCGGATCATCATTTAGATGACAGAAATTTTGAGTAAGTTAAAAAGATGATTTGATGTAGAATAAGTGTGCTAAGCGATTCATTGTTAACAAAGGATATTGTATAAATGAACAATAATGAATTAATAAAATAATTTCAGTAGACTGTAGTAATAAACGGAATTGAAACATACAGCTACTTTTAAGGATGAAATAATTTGAAAAAAAAAATATCTTCACTATAAGAAGTTACCATTAAATCATGCTCAAGTTAGACTTTATACGAAGTAAAACTAGGAATAAAAGGAAACATTGAAAAATATTTTCTAAATGATATGAGAATGGGAACCTTTAAGTTAGAGACGTTCTCATCAATCAATCTTACGTTTCGTTAACAAGTTGTTGATAAAGATAAGAAAACTGTAAATAGATTGAAGAATATTTTGTTGCAAAACAAAAGTATGAAAGATATTTTCAGTAAGTTAACATACTGTCAGAAGCCAGAAATGGTTAGAAAAAAAAAAACGAGTAAAGAGAGGATTAGTAATAGCTATATTAAGTGCAATAAAAAATAAGAGCCAAGATAATTTCATGGCCTATTCTAACACCTAACATAGTTTTTGTTAAAAGTTCTTAGAAATGGAAGACGATGATTGAAATTGTTTTAGATTTTGTCTATTTCCAGATAGATATACATCCTTTCATTAAACTGATATAGAAAAATTACTCCTTAATTACATTTGTATTATTAACTAACTGAAAAATCCATATTGAATATGAAAAAAGTAAAGTTATGAAAAGTAAGTTAAAATGATGGATAATAATGTGGATGATACTGCGATCATTCAATAAGTTATATCAATAAGTTATCAATAAGTTACAAATTTAAATTTAATCTTTGATTTTATGCAACAATTACATAAATTTCCAGGAAAAATTAGCATATTTGGAGTTGGTGAAAGCTATAAAAAGCAGAAGAAACCGACAAACTATCATTGTCAGTTTGGGGCAGTTGCAGCGAGCATTGTATTCTCGAGTTGGATCTAGGATGGAAGGGACCGAGGAAAGCGGTGATACGGGTCAATCTGCGGAATGGGATGTGCCGGATGCTTCGTCTCTTCCGCCCTCCATCCACGAGTCCTTTGATCCTGCTCTTCATAGTGATCCCTACGATAGCGCAAAGTATCCAGCAATTTCCCTTATTTTTACTTCTTTTTTATTCTGCTTCTCTCAATTCTACTTTGGAACTAATGATAACGACATGTTTATCCCTTATCTTATTTCTGTCTTTCCCTTTATCCGCTCCTCAATTCTACTTTGGAACCAGTGATAACGACATGCTTATCCCTTATCTTATTGCTATCTTTCCTTTCATCCGCTCCTCAATTCTACTTTTGGAACTAATGATAACGACTGCGGGGATTTCCAGATATTTGGACGAACTGGTGAAGGACATGCGTATATTGGATGCCATTCAAGTTAACCATCCCGACAAGCTTCGCAATACTTATACGTTGCTTGCCAACGAAATTGACCGCGTTTGGACCATCATCTACTTGCGCACTCTACGTGATGACCATTCAAATCCTTCTCTTCATGTAATATAATAAGTGATATAGCAATCCGACTGTTCATTACCAATTCATTACGTAAAATGATATTGGAATTTACTATGATTATATATATCATTATTTTTAGCTTTGAAACGCTTATCGGTCATTTTTAATCGGAATTTTAGGAATTATTATCCGAATTTTTTTTGAGTTATTTCTTTCCGATATAATTTAGTGATTTCAAATACTTATTATAGCCGGAAGGTTCTCTTATTACGATCCAGGAGAAAATTATGATCCCACAACGCCCAGATTGCAAATTCATCGGACGTATTCTTGGACCACGTGGAATTTCGGTGAAACAACTTGAAGCACAAACCGATTGCCGCATTCTTATCCGTGGAAAGGGTTCCGTTAAAGTAAAACTTTCTAATCATACTTTCATATATTCATCCTATAATGCTTTCTTATCTTAACTAGTTGATATCAATAATATAAAAGATGGGAAAATTGAATGAAATGATTTTTTTCTTTTTTTCAGGATGCTCGTCGTGAAGCTCGTCTTCGTAATCGTCCTGGTTGGGAACATCTTGCGGAACCTTTGCATGTGCTTATCACCGCTTCTGATGCTTCGCATGATCGTTGCGTTCAGAAGTTAGCAAATGGTATACGCAGTATTAAGGCTCTTCTTAGTAGTAATGATGATGAACACAAACGCCGTCAACTTGTCCAGCTTGCAATCATTAACGGCACCTATCGTCCAACACGTCCATAAAGAGAAGAATGATTGTATCAACAAAAAGCATACATAAATGTTTGATACGATGATATATATTAATTATTAAATTTGTATCGTAAAAATAAATAATATTGCAATAGATATTCTCTCTCCTTTTTCCTTTTCCTATCTCTCTCTCTCTCTCACGCTTTTCACTCTTTCACTTTTATCATTTTCCTCTCTTCTTCTTATCATGACCGATACTGGAATCTTATCAGATATCATCAAATTGTATGAATTAAAAAAATTTTTTTAATGTGTTCATAGTGTTTCCATCAATTTTTATCTTCTCAAAAATTTGTGACGATTCTATTTCCGATGAAAATTAGAGAAAATATAGAAGAAAAAATTTGAAAATTTCTTCACAACAATTATTTAGAAGTGTTATTTCAAAGAGTGACAAGAATATCCTATCAAGTGATCCTTCCTAAAAAGCCTTTTTCTACAGATCGATGATATCGGTTATTCGTGAAAATGGGTTTTTCACATTGATTGTTATTAAAATGATTTCGTCTATATTTCAGATAGTAATAGTTCCAATTGTTAAAGTATATGTTGAAATTCAATAGAATTGATAAATTATAAGGTTTACTAATGATTCTAAAAATGTGCTTAGCATAGTTTTGCAAAGAAAATGACATCATTGAGTGAGAATTGAAATAATAGAATGACCTAGGAGAGATTATAATTTGCACACGTGATTTACTTACCGCGAAACGTATGCTATCGAAAGCTTTAAAGCAAGCTAGGCGATTTGAATTTGTGACGTTGATTTCTTTAGTAAGCCAAATCACCGATAAAATTAACCAAACAGATATATTAGTTGAAATGATAAGATGAATTACATACTTGGATAAGAAGCAAAAGATTGAAACTGTTGGTTTGAAATCATTTTCAGAAATTACTAATCAAATCCAAAAAAAAAAAAATAATTGCAAGAATTGACGTATAAGAGAAGAAGTATTGTGCGAAAAAGTATTTCCATAACTTTATAAAACGTAATGATAACTTTGTTAATCAGAAAAGAAACAAAATGAAAGCAATGCTTACCTTAATAAGAGCACCACAAGATGTATATTGAACAAATTGACAGGTACGACCAGCAAAACCATCTGGACATAAGCATTTGTCACAATTATTAGGATTCGGATAACCATTATGATCGCAATGAATAGAAGGACATTGTTCCGTACAATGATAAGCTATGTTTATCTGAAAAGATATATTCTGATACTTTTTTTTATCATCTTTTGCAAAAAAAAAAAACTTCATGAATCGGAATAAAAAGAAAAAAAAAGGTAAGAATCAATCAATAGCATATGTTTATATATTAAGCTATTTCATTGCATTGTTTTAATAGATAAATGAGAGAAATTTAATTAGCTTAATAAGTTGAAATTTGATAATTGCTAATTTTTGTAAATATTTCAGACTTTTTTGATTTTCTTAACAAGCTATCACTATTCATTCGGTAATTTAAATTATTTTTAGCTCACTATTGACAGAAAATTTTTGGTATTAATGGATTATTGTTATCAGTGAACAATTTTCATCAATTATCTGATAAAATATTATCATCTATACATATATGTATTTGGAAAGAAATTTTAATAAATGTTAACAGTTCAGATTTACGATCTCAAATTTACAGTTATTGAAATTATCAGCCATTTGATGATAATATCATTAATGGGAATTGTTAGGTAAAGCTTAACAGCTGCATAATCCAGAAATGATGGTCCTTCACGTTGTCCAATTGTGTATTGCTGAAATTTATTACGTGTTGTAATTGTTGGTATGTATGGATCTGCTGCAAATCCATATGGTCCATAATGCATTACTGATCCTATAAATATAATAAACATTAAACAAAAAAAATAAAATAAATAAATAAAAATAAAAAAATCTTTCAAATTACAATTTTAAATTAATTAGATTATTTTTTGCCAATTTTGAAACATAAATTAGTATATAATTTATCATCTTTATGTTATTATTATGTGATGGAAAAAGAAAAAAAATTGAAAAAATTACCAGTATCATAAGGTAAATTAAACATATCAGCTTCATATTGTGATATTGGAGAAAAATTATTCCAACGACTTAATGGAATATTATTATAATTAATAAAAATATGATTTTTTGATCAAGACGTGCTTGCTCATGAAATATTCCCAATGTATGACCAATTTCATGTGATATTATACCAATAATATCACATCCTGGTGTTGAAATTGAAATTCCCTGAAATTTTTATTGCAAAATATTAATTCTATTATTAGTACATTTTCTTTTTTCTTTCATTTTTCTACCTTTTTTTTTTTCCTCTTCACAAGATATAGATGATTTTAATTTTAAAAACTAAAAAAAAAAAATTTATTCGACAAATAAATTTTGCTTCCAAAATTACTTGCGTGCCTCCTGTTCGGCCAACAAAACTTGAACAACCACCACCATCAAAAAATTCAATCCGATCCACATTTGGGCCATTTTCCTGAAATCGTATACATGTTCGTTCTTCCCATAATGCTAATGCTGCACGAATTTTTGCTCGTGTTTCGAATGGAATTGTTTCCGCAAAATCATAACTGATTGGATGTTTATGATCCCATCGAACATAAAACGGTTCAAGGCCAACACTCCTGAAAAAAAGAAAAAAAAAAGAAAGGCATAATTAAATTTTAGTTAAACAAATTGAAATACATACAATTTTAATCTATTTCATAATTAAGCCAAACAAAAGTTCATAGTTTCTCATCAGGCGTAAGTTTAGTTTAAATTGAAATAGATTTAAATCAAATTAATCTAAACAGAACTAAATTGAGCTACGTCATATGTTTTGCATGATATTGTATCAATGTGTAGGAAGTTGATGAAAAATCCGGTTTTTGTCATACTTTGAAAAAAAAAAAGAAAAAAAAAAAAGAAAGAAAGAAATTATCCTTGATACTGCTGATGACGTAAATTGTAGCTTGTTTAATTAAGCGAGTTTTGTGCGAAAATGTCAATTAGTCATAGCAATAATAAAATTGATGGAATGTGAATTAAATCAATTAATTTAAATGAATCAAATTCATTTTATTTCGTTTACAACGAAATAAAATGAGATTAAAATCGGAATTTTTACTTTTTATTTTTCCTGAAATGTAATGAAATTTTGATAAAAAAATCACGAAATCCATTAACAATACCTTTTTTGGCGTTTTATTTCATCGTCTTTTTCTTTCAAAACAATTTCACTTTTCAAATGTTTGCTTAACATTTCAGCTTGCTTCTCCGACAAATCGACATCACCCTGAAAAGAGAAAAAGAAGGGAAAAAAAAGAAGAAAAAAAAAACAAGCTTTTTTTTTTGAAATTTCAATATTTTGATTCCTTTTGAAATCTTGAAAGCTTTTGAAAGTTTAGATGGAAAATTTAAATATCAATTTTCTTTGGAATGAAATTGTAGGATGAAAAAATAGTTTTTTTTCTTGTCATGCTTTTTTTAGAATAATTTGCAAAAATAAAATTGAATAATATCATGAAGTTGTCACTTTTTTTTTTTAAAAAAAAAGAAAGAATTGAATAAATGAAGGAAAAAAAGGAGGAAGCTAAGATGGAAAGAAACTTGATAGTATGCATCCGGATCATTGATCAATAATTCATTATGATGCCGTTTTGCTTCCGGATTCCTTCGTTCTAATACTATTTGATCAGCCAATATTCTATCATCAATCTTCTCAATCTGCCTGTAACAATTAAAAAAAAGAAAATGAATTCATCAATGAAATAATAATAATAATAATAATAATAATCAAATTCATTATATAACATCAATTTAATAAATTTCGAAGTTTAACAATTTGCATTTCTAATAATTATTGTCAAAAAAAAGAAAATATAATTCTATTAAAAATTATTCGAGAAGAAAAAAAAAAAGAAATTAGATAAGTAAATGAAACGAAATATAACCTTTGTGCTTTTAGAGTGATAAGTTGTTTGATATGATCTAACGTATGTCGTGATACTTTCGGCGTTCGATAATTTTCCACAGAATGAATAATGAAATAAATGAAAAATTGAGCATAAATGATAATAACCTGCTTCATTTTGATGTAAAATTTGCTATTTTCTTCGATAAATTTATCGTTGATGAAATAAACGACAAATCGAAATCTACACATATACCACAAATACTTTCATGTAAATGCACCCTTCTCAGCTCTCATTTCCATTCATTGTAACCGGTTAAACAAATGCTGGAAGGAAAATTACCATCACCAATCATCATCCACTTTCCTTCATTTATCCTAATAAAAAGTTTGCAAAAAAAAAAAACACACACAGAGAAAGAAAAAATCATGCTGTAATTAATGGTATCAATAGTTACAGGAAATAGATTATATCTGAATAATTTATCACTTATCTAAGATTAATTAAAGATATCATCATTACTGAGACAAATACTTAATCGTTGATATTGAGAGAAATATCATTTATTTTGTTATGGAACAATCAATTTTGCTATCGATGATATAGTAAAACCATCTTATTGATATGAATTCTTTTTCGGGTCTTATCTCAGAAATTCCCAAAGTAATGTTATTGTGATAAGCAAACGAATGATAAGTATATCTTGATGAATTATTGTTAAGAATTAGGTTAGAACAGTACAAAGATTGTAAACATTTAAAGAATATACTATCATTTCAAAAGAAATTATCTGAAGCATTCTGTTTGATTGGCAAAATGATTGATTCGAATAATCATTTGAATTTTATCGATCACTATAAACTTTATCAAATATTATCAAACGACATAAATTTGCCTAACTGAGACAAGAAATGACTCATATCAGTGAGCAATAATATTTGTAAACGTCAAAAATTTGTTGTAATACTGACAAGTAGCATTAAATTAATACCAAAAATCGGAAAACCGAAAATCACATAAAATTTCCATCTTTTTAACATCCAAATGATGACTTTTTTTTTTTTAATGTCCAAAAATTGAACGATGGAAGTATGAAAATATATATTAAATTAACAGTACACAATAAAAATGATTTAAAATACAATTACGGTTAAAATTCTTTAATTCAATTAGAATTGATAGTAATTTTCACTGTGTAACAGAACATTCGTAACTTATACATCATTTTTCCCGCATATTTTAAAAGTTCAATGCTTTTAGTTTATTCAAAAATTCCTTGAAATTACATTAAATTTATCATAGGAATGTTATGAGACAAAAGAAAAAAAAGATAGAAAACAAAATTGTCCTATCAATTATTTATTCATATTAATTGTTCACTTAATGCATCATCAGTAAATATTTCAAATATTATCATCATTTTTCCCCTTTTTTTTTTTCTTGATACATTTTTATGCTTAATTATTTATTTTCATCATCATAATTTATCATCCTTCTTTTATATTATTCATGCTCAATTATTTATCATCTTCTAGTATATCCTCATCTTTTGTATTCATCTGTTTCCTCATCGAAATATCCGTCATTCCTGATTCTTTCGTGATATTGAGAATTTTCTGGTGATTTTTAGTTGATATGATTATTTCAGGTGCTTCATCACTATCACTTGTTGATGAGCTTGACACATCATTGGCATACATTTTGTTCGATTGTACGAATGCTTCAATGTCACGTTCTGATGTTGATACATTTTTGCGCTCAACCCCCATCAAAATGTTGACATTTTGAGCACTTTCTTTCTTTGGTATAAGATTATCATCCGGAATACATATCATTGAAAGATGATCACTTTCATTAGTGTTAGTCGATAGTTTTCGGTTAGTAAAAGTGGTTAAATTAATTATGGAATTGCTAAAATTGCCGACATCTTCAGAATCATTGGTTTCACTAACGTTCATCATAAATTCAACTTCATTTAGCTTAATTTTTGGTTGTTTAATTTGGCTGATATTTCCTTGAAATGATTCTAATTTTGAAGTTTGTTCAGAAATACTAAAATTATCCGAAATATCATTCATTTCGTTGAATTCTTCTTTGCCATCGTAATTAGCAATATCATTGAAGTTATCATGCACAATATGCTCTTTATGATCACCACCTATTCCTAAAATAATTATAATTAATTATATTTTAAGGAAATCATAACTTCCAGTAAATTTTCCTAAATTTGATACTGCTTCAAAATTAAATAGTATCGTTATTTACAATAATATTTTACATTTTACATATAATTCATTCTTACTCGTTATTTGCTGCTCATTGCCAGTAATTAATTTCCATGGATCTTCTTCATTAACATCCGAAAGAACAATATCTTCCATATTATGCATATTTTCAATTGAATCTTGTTTTTGAAGAAAATTTTCCATTACCTGAACATTTAATTAACATGGATTTTCAAGAATTGATAAATTTTTTTATTTATTTATTTATTTATTTATTTTTGTTGCAATTACAAAAAATGCGCCAACTTCACCCGCATATCATTTAAACTATTTGCTACATCATTTTCAACAAATAATGTTAAACTTTACTTTAACTTTGACTTTTTCTTTCACTCACATTACCTTTCATCATTTCAAACTTAGACAAACATTCATCACTGTTTAACACATGCGCAAATGTTTAATTAATTTCTGCTTAATTAACATGGATAGAAAATTAATATTTTGACAATTTACATTGGGAAATTTGATCTTGTATTGAAAATTAATAGATCTACCTTTTGTTCATTCGTTGTCACTTCTGCTGGATTCACATTTTCTGATTCACTGATAAGATTATCAAGTACAATAGTCGTTATATTAGCACTTTCTTCTTTCAACCTTAAAAATTAATCCTAACGATGATAGTCGTTATGAATTGACCAAATTGAATGAAAGGTTCAAATCAAATACAAATTGAGAAATTTGAAGCGTAATTGTTTTTCATAACGCAGACATTGAATGCATGCGAAAATTAATGATCAGAATCTTTCTCTATTTTTTTTTTTTTTTTGGACTTATCATACATCACGATTATCAGGCTTTATATTGATTATAATTTGTAAAAATTTTATTAATGATAGGAATATACCTTTTCATACTGATTCTCATTTCACTATCATCGTCTAATTCATACGTTCTTACATTGAAACTATTTTTAGTTTCAGAAGCATAATTGGAAAGGCTTAAATTATTGGGGCAACAATTACTTTGATTGCTGGGAAGTGGTTGCCGGGTAACCACAACGCCTATAACAAAATTATGTTATAGAAAAATTGGAAAAGTTTTCAATCAAAATTTTTGAATCTGATTATCAGTTATGCTAGAAGTGTAAATATATATATATATATCCACATGTACCTTGCATATATTTACGTATGTATCTACATTCATGTTCATTTAAAAATTAAAATATGATCTAAAATTCATGTAAAAATAAATTTTTAAAAAGTGGACAAACTAATGCAAGAATTATTTTTTTTTTTATAAACTCGATTAAAATATAAAATACAAATGTAAAATGACGTAAATTATTGAAAAAAAATTTCAAATATTTCATTGAATATATCAGATTATACAATTCCCATTTATGAAGATAGACTAAACTAGGAACCATTGAATAATGATGAATTATAGTTAATCCCTGCAACATCATTTACCACATTCCTGGTACATCGGCAACACCAAAATTTATACCCCGTTGGTTCCATTTTTTCTGGTTCATCCTGTAAAAATTTTATCAATTTAAATTATTTAAATTGCAAGAGAAAATGCAATAAAATAATGTGACATTATTTTAGTAATTGTCAAATTTCCACATAAATGAACTAATTTGTAAATCAATTTAACTTTAATTCCTTTGAAAAACATTTTGTAGAAGAAAGGAATGCCAAAAGCAACAATTAAGATAGTAATCGTTAAACTTATATAATTACCTACACGATTTGATAAGCTAATATAATGAAATTGCTAAAACATAGCTTTTGTTTTCCTGTTTTTAAGCCATTGAAATTTAATTAAAGCTGAAAAATTATTTTTTAAATGGAAAATAAATTGATATTTCAATTGTGTTGCACTTTTAAATTTTTCTGCAAAATTTCTTTCTTTTTTCTTGTGCAAAAAAAAAGAAAAAGAAAAAAAAAGATCCAATAAAATAAAAATATTAAAATGGGACATTTGTCAGTGAAATTGTTAGCAAACTAATATCCATTATTTTGACATATTAATATCCATTATTTTGACATACTAAAAAGAATAATATCCTCAAAATTGAATAATTAAAATTAATTAATCTTTTCAATTGGCATTATATTGTCTGAACGGTATTTTTCAGACAATATAATATCAATTGAAGAGATTAGTTAGCTTTAATTATTTAATCATTTGAAAAAAGACAACAGCATTAAAATGTTGAATAAAAGTTCATTTCTAAGAAATCCATGCTTGCATAAATTGAAGAAAAAAAGAAGAATAAAAACAATTTAGCACTTATAATAATTTGATTTACAAATTGAAGTCACTAATTGAAAATAATTAAAAATATTTTCGAAATTATACCAATAATTTGACGGTAGGTAAATTAAGTTACCTTACCTGGTCAGTGGTGGAATTCGTTTGGGATTGCATCATTAGTCAAAAATTTTCATCAAATACCAATAAATGAGCACCAGTTTCCAAATTAATAAGAAAGTTAATAGCTTCCAGTCTTGTTGACGTAACAAAAAATATGAAATGAAATAAAATGGAATGAAATGAAATAAAATAAAATGAAATGAGTACTTGCAAATATGCAAGCACTCATTTTTAAGCGATTAATTAAATACAATTATTTTTGAGGATATTAATTAAAACTTTGGCTATGTCAAATTGTGGAATATTTCACAAACTAACTGTTTTAGCATATTTTTCATTTTTTGTTTTTGATAAACAATCCCAAAAATTGACATGTAATATAAGAAAGAATGTGACCTTCCGGATGTAATTTTCCGGAATCAGAATTATATTATCGAATATAATGCCACGTTTTCAAGTGAAACAATCACTAACACACATCTCCATTGATGGATGATGAAAAAGAATTACTTTCATAATAACAAAAAAAAGGAAGAAAAAAAAAAAACTTAGAAGGATATATTATTTTTCCTGATATACTTAGAGAAGAGTATTGCACTTAAGAATTTTAATGAAAGATTTTGATATGATAATGATTCATTCAGGTAGGTATGAAATTTCCATCGTAGTAGAACATTTTTATATTTTTAAGGTATTCATCATCTGATCCTATCATATCATATCATTCATGATCACTTCATTCCAGTCATTTATGACCATTCGTACTATTTACCTTATTTGTTTAGTTTATTTTTTATTTGATTGCACAGTAAAAAAGACTAGTTTCCAATGTGTTAAAAAGGTGATTAAAGAGTAATGATAAGATTAGGATAAGAGTTCATTTATTAATCAAAAAGATATATGAATATATTTGATATGGTTTCTTTTCTTTTAATTCTATCTAAAATTTTCCCATCTGTCCAAAATTCTACTCTCAATCATTATTGTACGGTAAAATTAATGATAATATAAAAAAACTGCATACCATTGCAAAAGGAAAAGATGAAAAGAAAATGCAATGTAATGTTACATTGATGATAACATTTAAATTCTAGACAATACAAAAAGTAAAACAAAAAAAAAAAAATAAAGAGTTTTTAAATTTTCCAAACATTTCATCAGTGATTCTAAAAGAAAGAAATGTTACGCACATATTGACATTTGAAATTTTGCTTCTTAGAAATTAATACATTTAATTTTGCAAAATTTTATACAATCATGTATTTCTCTAATTTAAAAATTTAAATTGATCAGAAATGATATTGAAACAGTTTGCTTCAAATTCAGTACAGATGCAATTTGTAAAGTATGAAATGTGTTAATCCAATAATATTATTATAATGAATGTAAAAGATATTATTTAATTTCTTTTTCGATTTCGATAAATAAGAACTAAGCGAAGAAAACGGAAATGAATCAGCTGCTCCCCAATGAAATTCACTTAATAATTCTTTCCTTTTTTTTTTTTCAAAAATTCATTTTTTTTGTCATTTCCTAATGATTACAATCTTACTTGAAAACGGAAGTAAGAAATCAACCAAAAAAGATTTTTACTTCAGATAGAAATATCGTTTTAAAAAAAAAATTTTTAATCGAAAAGAATTACTTTTGGAATGAATACGAAATGTTTTGAAAAAAAAAAGAACATATCTGTATGATATCTCTTATAAAATGATCAAAATTTAAACCATTTATTTATTTCATTCTACTTTTGTTCACTAATACAATAATCATTTATTTAAATAAAATAGAAAGAGATAAGGAAAAGAGAGGGAGAGAAAATAAGGGGGGAAAAAAAAGAAGCGTTGAAATGATTGATATACAGTTCTATTTTATGAAAATGAAAGGAGGAGAGAGCGAGGAAGAAAGGAATCTATAAATTGTAATTTGAAAATTAAAAAAAAAAAAATTTAAAGAGGATGAAATGTATTGCAATAATATCAAATTTCTTGCCGTGCAAAACAAATTTATCTGTACACTGTTTGAACATTATTTGCAATATATAAAAGAAATAAAAAAAAAAATTGTGTTTATAGTATGCTATCATATACTTTTAGATTTAGGCCATTGATGGATTAAAATTTGAAATTAGCCGAAAAAGTTTAAATTTGAAAACAAGTCCTAAAAAATAAATTCAATGATTTAAATTATTTGAATTTTTAAGTTGTCCCTTCTTTTTTTAATTAAATGCTTTAAGTGTCAATATGAACGAAGTACGATTTTCCAAAAAAAAAAAATAAAAAATAAAAAATAAGATAAAATCAAATAAAATAATAAAATTATAATGCAAAAATGACAAATGGTAAAAAAAAAAATGAGAAAAGAAAAAAAAAGAATTTTATGTGATTTTTTTTTTCTTAACATGAAAATATTATAATTATATTGTGTTCATGTAAGGCATAATTTATTGATTGTGATAAATAGTAAAATATGAATAGATTTATAATATTTGAATTATAAATTTTTATGAAACAGAAATTCAAATTAAAGCTAACAAAATTGAAAACAGCAAGCAATGAATGATACCATTAATATTTTATGCATTAATGATAAGTGGAAAAAATTATTAAATTTAGCTTGGATAAAAGAAGAAAAAGGAGCAAATATTAAAAAAGAAAAACTAAAATAATAGAAT